TTGTTTTCTTCTTCCCTTTGTTTCTGTAGCAGCTCGGGGGTGGGAGAAAATGATTATAGTTTTCCAATTTGAAAGTGAAGCTTGGGGAGTTTATTTTAGGTGAGTGCCCCACTTTAATTACTTTGGTGTTGTAAAAAGGTGAATGAGTATATATTGGTCTTTGAGCTGAAATTGGTTCTGGGTAAAGAATTGAAATTGGGAAGCTTTAGTCAATTTAAGTGCTGATAATTGGGGATTGTTGAGGAAGAGATTTAAAGAGTAACATAGTTTGTTATATTGTTTAAATTTTGATGCATATAAGGTGTTTGTTAAAATGTGTAAAAGAGAGATTTGGTTGGAATGGGACAATCAAGTGTATTCATATATTAAGGACTGAAATTTGAATTTAGTTTGGTTAATTTCTATACTGAAACTTAAAATAGTATGGATATTGCTTGAAATGTGTGCGTACGTATGTCTGTCTATATATATATATATTATTGTGACAGAAATTATTAGGGAGAGATTTGAAAAGAAAGAAGCTTGATAGTATAGTTTGAACATTGATGCATGGAGGATGTTTGACAAAATGATCGAAAGGAAAGTTGTGTGTTTATGGTAACAAATACACATGATAATTATTTGATCATTGATTAAATTATTATGGGAAACACTCTTCTCTACAATGAATGTTAGAATTTGATCTGGAGATTGTTGGAGGGGAAATAATATATCTTGGTTGGTAATTAAGAACCAATGCTGGCGTGTTTCTATGTTAATCTTGGAAATATCTTCAGAGATTGTTTGATGCAATGTTTTAAAAGGCTTTAAAGTTGAGATTGAGATTTTATTTTTTGCTTTCTTTTCGTTTTCCTAAATAATTTGGACTGTAGATTTTGGGTTATAATTATACATATAAGAAAATGACAATGGTACTCCTTGAGTAATTGGGACTTAAGGACCAAGCATGGTTGCTAGAAGGCTAATTAGGAGTAAGTTATATCAATTTGGGAATGCAGCAGGTAAATGAATAATGTCTCAATCAATTTATAAATTATAAATTTCCTTTTATCGAATATTATTTTTAACAATTTACAGTTATTAGTATATGTTTCCCTAACATTGATTATTATTGTTAATTAAATTTCTTTAACTTTTGAAGTTGTCATGATATGTATTTATAAGATTGACAAAAATGTTTTTGTAAATTTTAATACTCTTTTATTTAGCAAAGACAATCATGGAAATTGGTGAAAAAGTTTATAAAATATTAGTTGTGAATTTTTATATTTAAAATGATTGATGTTTCAAATAATTCATGCGAGTTTGATATTGAAAAGAGAAAATTTTATTTTAAAAATGATGATTTTCTCGCATGTTTAAAAATGAATTTCAATGGGACTTTATACAGAACAGTGATTGCTAATAACAATTCCGTTAGCCCTTGACACGCTATTGTTAATGATTAGCTAGTTTGATTTTCGTGAGCTTTATTCTCACGTTTGTTATTCGTAGGTCTCGTACTCGCGTTTGTTTTCGTGGCTTTAACCCCGCGTTTTGTTAGTATTACCCTCGTGAACTATGTGTCTAAATTTGTTTCGTGGTTTCGACCACGTTTGGTTAGTTACCCTTATAGATTGTGTGTCCACGTTATTTTCGTGGCATAAGCGACATTTAATTATTTATTCTTGTGAACTATGTGTCCACATTTGTTATTAGTTTTGTTAAGTCCTAAAAAAGGTGAACTTACAATTGACTTATATATATATATATATTTTCTCTAGAGGTTTTAATTTATAAATGTTGCTACATTTTTGTTCATAGATCTACTCAATTTGATAAAGGCAAGTGTTAATTTCATTTATGTTATTTTATTTTAAGCTAGCTGATCTTGAATTTTAATATGTGAAATATTTTAAGTAATTGTGTTATATTGAATTTTTTTTTTTTTTATTGTGTATAAAATTCATTAAGATTGTTCACATGCATTCATTTAATTTTTATTATTGGGGCATTATTAACTGAAAAATTATTTTGGTCTCGGATATTATAGTTGACCTACTTCGAGTTGACTATTGAGGGGCTATCTTTTGACGTGAAGTGAAGAAGTTATTGACCAGCTTGGATGTAAAATTTAAAATTTTGAATTTATGTTTTGTATATTTTATTTAGACGCTCCACATAAATTATAGTTAGGACATTCATATATATATATATATATATATTATACATGATTTGTCAATTAGAAGGAGCATAGCTCTTTGTTGATGCTATTTTATACTGAGGAATGTCGTCATAGAATTTTCAGGAAGTCTTATTTTATGGGGAGATTCTATCAAAAATTGTTTTTACAAAAGCATTAAGTCTTCTGTTCTTATTATTCATATTGGACATGGTTCGATTTATTTTCAAATGTCTTAGTGGTTTAGAAATTAGAGTTCGTTATGTTAAGGCTTTCGAGATATAGGTTTTGTTTTCATATTTCGTACTGGTCATTCCTTATTTTCAAGGAGTGACACATGCTTAGGAAGATATTGTCTCAGCAAACCTAAAAGACACCTACTCTAACGAAGTTGCTTGCTTCTCTGCAATGCTTATTTTCTGCTGGAAAATAGAAATCACACCACATGGAATAGTGATACATAGACTCACACGACACAATGGGGAAAGGGACAACATGTGCGTCAAGCCGTCAACCCAAAGAAACTAAATGGGTGACAACTTTAGAACAATGACGAGTGAAGCTTGGCAAGTTACATTCGTACTCTCATGATGACCAAAACAGACATCAAAGATGCTATATTAACCCAAAACCTCCAATCTGGTGTCTTGCCGCGTGGATGTGGTTGCTCGACCTTCAAAACAAGACCAGAATCACTAGCTAATTATTTGAAAGGCCAAGGCCAAGCACGCTGCTTTCTCTCTTCATGTCACTATTGCTTTCATCTGGTAGTACCAAGATTAGCGATCAACAATGTCCAACATGCGTGTCTTCTTTTAAGGAACTATATGTCTATCAAATAAAAGTTTTTGAATATCTCTTTGTACGACGTATATATACTGAATAATTAACATCATGCATCAATGATAAATAACTCAATCCGATCAGGCTAAACAATAAAATCAGTAGAAAAACGTTGCAAGCATGCTATTATATATTCTAAACAATAAATATCAGTAGAAAAATGTTGCAAGCATGCTATTATATATTACTATGTTCTTCATGATATTAGCATAGTGAAGAGAGTTTTTGATGTATCTGCTGACTCGCTGCCTCTTAAGTGAAGTTTGCACGCTTTGTATGTGTTTGATGATATCGTGCTTTCGCTGGCCTGGCAAGATGCTATCTGTGAATGAATTAGGCATATCATAAAAACGAAGAATCTGTAACTTTTTGAGATTCTGAATGTCATCAGGCACCTCAGCCATCTGAGGGCAAGGCCCAACGTATAGCTGCTCAAGCTGTGGCAGTGCCTTGTCATCAATTTTCAATGTTTTCAAGTGCTCCAGCTTCTTGAGGCGTAATCTTGAGCTTTCTTAGCCACCCTTTTTGGAAATGTAGTTCCAAAAAGTTGTAGGTCCACCTTGATAAGCCTTGCGAAGTCGTAGGTCCAAAAGCTCATTCAAGTCTTTTAACAGAATCTATAGGATCATCCGTATTCCTGAGCCGTAAAAGCATAGCTTCACTAGCTTTTTGAGTCTGGGAATCCATTTTGGCAAGCTCTGCAAACGACCCTCCAAGTAAAGTCGTTCAAGGTGCCTTGGAGGGTTGGTTAACGAGTCTAGCTCTAGAAATTCATTCTCGTCCACTGCTCCTATCCACAGTGAGGTAAGGCGTTTAAAGACTCTACTGTATAAATCTCTTCCATTATGACGTCTTAGTCTGGTGATACCTAGCTTCTTTAGCTGCTTTAATTTTCTTAATTCTATAAATATGGAAGCATTCACGTGGTAGCAATCGATAGAGTATAGCATTTGTAGATCCTTGAATTTCCCAAATCCTTTTATGATCTGCAGTCCACGGTAAGAAAAAGCTGCCATGCCCAGATCAATTTCACCACCGTGGAAGGAATAACATAGAAGCTGACGAAGCTTGGCAAGCTTGTTTATTTCTCCTGAAAGCCTATGTTCACAAGAGTTCTTGATGTGTAGAGTAAGAAGATTCTGAAGCTTGCCAATGGATGCGGGAAGCGTCTTGACTTTTGTGTTTCTTAAACTCAAATATTCCAAGAGCAGTCAGTCTCCGATTTGTTCAGGAAGAGCATCAATTGGAGCGTCGCATCGAAGTCTAATATTCTTATAAGATTGAACTTGGTCATGAAAGTTGTTGAAATCCCTTTAATGTTGGACAAAATACAAGATCTCACCTTGCCAGGATCTGAAATAACCCCTTGAAGCTCATTTTCTCTGTAATCCTTTTGAATGGATGATCGTCGTGGTGAGTCTGAAGAGTTTAAGTCCGAGCTGCCAGCATCGTCAAAAAGTTGACAGAAGTTCATCTCTTCAAACTTTTGTAAGATGAACCCGCGCATCATGTCATGAACTCTGCAACTTCTAACTTTGCCATCACAATCAACCACTGTAGCCTGAGAAAAAACATGATCGACAACCATGTCTAAATCAGACATTTTGGAATTATAAACCATGAAAGACAACAATACAATGAGCTGCGTGTGTTAATTCATACCTGAATCAAGCTTCTGTTTATCAGCTCTTGGAGGTGTTTCCTTCCGATTTCTTCCGGCCTCTCTGGGTTTTCTTTGACAAACCCTACTGCAATCCATAAACGGATGAGTCTGTTGCAGTTGATAGGGTAGTCTTCAGGAAATTCACCCAAGCAGAGAAAGCAACGTTTGAGGTGATAAGGAAGATCATAATAACTTTCAGACATGACCGTGTTCAACACCCGGCCAGCATCAGTATCATTAGCCAAGAGCCGACTTAGGTTTTTATGCACATTTTGCCACTTGGTGCTGACATCATCGTTGTCTATATTTGTTTTTGAAAGAAGACTCCCAATGGTCGTGATAGCCAGTGGCAACCCTTTGCATTTGTCGATTATTTCATCAGACAATAGTCGCAAGTCTTGTGGGCATTCATCACCATGGAAGGCAATTCTGGTGAAAGGTTCCTCGGCCTGTTGGCGTTCAAGATGTTTCAGACGAAGGGTTTAGTAAGGTGTGTGTGACCCTTGCAATGGCTTTCCACTTCATTCTTTCTGGTCGTGATTATTATACTGCTTCCGTTTTGCTCGGATGGTAATATTTTCTTAATTTCGTCCCAAAATCCGGTGGCCCAGACATCGTCGAAATCTGTCAAGCGCCGGTTTTCTTGCAGACAGTTTCTCACTTCTTCTATCAAATCCCGTGTCTCCGTATTGCCCATCTCAAAATCCTTCTGAGACTTGAGTTGTTGAATCAGTTTCCTTAATGCGTTCCTTATCTCATAAGTTTGCGACACGTCCACCCAAGCTCGATGTGCTGCAAACCTTTCCACCACCTTTTTACGATGGTGACATACTTGGTAGACCAGGGTGGTCTTGCCTGCACGTAAGCATAATAATCAATATTTCAACGTCAATTATCAAATAAAATCGTCTGCAGTGCTCGTCAGGTGTTCATCACCTCTAATAAATTTTACCCCTATTGAATATATATATATATATATATATATATTGTAATAAAAAGTTCTTTCTCAAACATTTAATAAAATATAAAAGAGATTGTTATAAAAATTTAATAATATGACTTATAAATAGGAGAAATAATTTTTTCTCTCTACCATATAAATAAAAATGGAGAGTAATTGTTAATTGCAAAGAAACTTAAAATTAAAAAGATGCATGTTTTTTTAATAATTTTAAGAATGTAACCAAATATATATATATATATATAATATGTATGTGTATGTATGTATGTATGTATGTATGTTTTACTCTGTGCAAAGTTCATTAACATTATATTAAAGATTGGGGATATCTTCCACCAACCAAGGAGGATAGAGATTAAATCTCTTCTCTAACTAGGTTTGTTGATCCTTGTGTCTCAGTGCTGCAAGATATATGATTCAAGTAAGGTTTCTCAACATTTTTGTTGGGCGAACTTGGTCACACTAGTGTAATGACTCTAAATTTTAATTAAAAAATAATAAAATAATAAATAAATAAATATCTCACACATTAATATTGTATTTATTTATTTTATTTTAGTAAATGGAGAGTAATGACTAAGGGTTTTATAGATTCGGTTTGGTTTGGTTTTTGTTTAATTTGGTTAAGGTTTGAATCATGTTTCGATGCACTTATTAATTTTTTTTTTCCATTTTCATTATGGTGCAGTGTATTAAAATTAAATCTAATTCTTTGTGGCTTTTTTTTTCATAAATAGAGATATAAAAATATAATAAAATTTCAATGTGCTAACAATAATTAATCATAAAAATTGATATTAATTTATAAGATTAAAATTATTTAATATCATGCATTTCCATTCAAGTCCTTTAAAAATGTTTATCTATATATTTATATTTTAATAAATAATGAAAACTTATTATACAAATTCAAAACAAAATGCTTCTTGTAGATAAATTAAATACATGAGGCTTTCAAGTTGTAAATAATTAAATAATGGTCATAGCATGATTATTATAATTATTTAATGTTATGCATTTCCATTCAAGTCCTTAAAAATGTTCATATATTATTATAAAAAATTCAAAACAAAATGCTTCTTGTAGATAAATAGTTTTATATTTTATAAATAAATAAATAAATAGTATTTTTTTTCAATCAAGTCTAGTTCAATTCGGTTCGATTTTTAGTACTCAAAATCGAAACTTGAACTGAATCAATCAGCTTTCATATTATAAAAAAATCAAAGCAAATTTTATTGTTATTCAATTTTGGTTGGCTTCTTTCAGTTTGGGTTAATTTGGGTTGGTCCTTTTGATTTGAATCGATTTTAAACACCTTTAGTAATGATCCAATAAAAACTATGTAAGTTGCCTACCTAGAAGTCTAGAGTTCGAATCTCACTAAGAAAAGGTTATTTTTATTTTGTGTTAATTATGAGAGAATGATAGGAAAAAAAATGCCTTTGTCTTTTGTTATAATAAAAAAAATTTCGATCCTTTCTTATAATTTTCTCTCATTCTTTCTTTTGACAAGATTTTTTTCCTTTCCTCGGCTATTTGAATATCAGAATTGGTAGAGGGAGGGAGAAGCTTCAGGATCTCGTCCTTCTATCTCCATTCTTTCTTTTTCACCGACCTAAAACCTCTGCCTTGCGATCTCGATTCATCGCCCTCCCCGCTTTTGCTGTCGTCGCCGGTGACATGAGTATGCCATAAATCCTTACCTCCCTTTTGTTCCTTGCATCTCCTTCTCTGTTCGTGCCTTTGCTGTGATTGTCATCCTGCTGTGTCGCATTGCTGTCATCACCAGTGACGTGGTCAAGGGCCGGACGAGATTGTTCCTTTCCTCCTCCTTCTCTGTGTGACCTCTTCCTCCTTCGTGCGTCTGCTATCATGATCAGAACTTTCCCTTGTGCACGACAGCAACCATTTCTTCTTCCCCTGTTTCTTCTATGGTGAGTTGCTGTGTTGGTTGCTGTCATTAATTTTTGTTTTCCTCTGCTTGGTGTCGCTGGTTATCTTCTTTCTTGTCTGAACAGCAATATTTCTTTTCTCTCAGCTCCTACTCTCCTGTTGCTGTCACTGGAGCTAAGGATGGTCGAAAAACTTCCACCTTGCAACACCTCTGTTCGTGCGTCACTGTAGATGTTGTTGTTGGTGCATGAGTTCTTCTTCCTCGGTTTCGATCAGCTTCTTTCTCTCCCTCTTCTTTATTGTTGTTGATTCATGTATGAAGTTTTGAACTCTTCTTCTTACTATTTTAGTGCGTGGACATTTTGCCTCTCTAAATGCTGAATCTATACGTGTGGGTAAGAGGTGATTTGCTTCTTCTTTTTTTGTTATATCGTGTGAATGGATGGTGGAGGATTAAGCAAGTAAGTTGGAATTTTAATCCACTAAAGAATATGAAGCAATATGGGCTGAAATTGTATTTGAAAGTATTTTGATATTTGTTGAAGGAATGGTTTTGAAATATTGAGATAATTTATACAACCATGATGTTAAACTGTTAAAGAAGTAGTTTGGATGAAATAAGAAGAAAAGAGCCTAAACTTAAACTTGAAGATGGGTGGCTAAGGTATTTGACAAGTGTTTGTTAAAAGAAGTTTACTTGGATTTTATTTTGTCTAGAATTTCATAAATTCTTGGGTAAAGTTTGCTTAGTTGGGTGTTATTGACCCATGAATTTAGCTTGTAAGGTTGTTAGTAAATTGTTAGATATTTAAATTGAATGGGTAGAATAATGTACTTAAAGTATTTGATACAAAGCCTGAGAGAAAATTATGTCTCAAAAAAAATTGGCATCATTAAAATAAATTAGAGGAGACTAGTGATGTAAATGATAATACTTGAATCAACTTTAAAGTATGAATTTTGATTTTGAAACTTTAAATGATAGTAGTTGATTGAGATTGTGTAATAAATTAAATTTTTTATTAAAATTGTATTTATATATATCTTTATAGGGTGTGTGGAAGAATAAGACTCTAACAAGAATTAAAAGAAGAATATTGTTTAGAATTTAGAACTCCGAGGAGTAAGTGAATAGCACTCCTATTTTTTTACCAATAAAAGTAGTATGTTATTGAAAATATTACATTTTTATATAAATCATTTTTCAACTATGATGAGTGTTGAGTACTTTGTTAATTAAATTATTTTAGTTCTAGAAATTCATGGAATAATGATAAAGAATAATTAAATTATGATGTGCGTATGTATTTTTTTAAATATAATTTCAAGATTGATGAAGACATCTTTGTTTATTAAACTTTGAAATTTCTTAATTTATCAATTAATGCAAGCTCGTACATTAGCTATGAAGTATTATTTTGGCAGATTTTGATATTTAAAATAATTCATGGGAGTTTAGATATTAAATGAAAAGTTTATTTCAGAGATGATTATTTTTCTTGCATGTTTAAAATGTGACTTTTAAAAGGACTCTAAACAGAACACTATTGCTAACGGCAGTTTCATTAGCCTGTAGCGCTGTGGTTAATAACTAGTTAGTTTGATTTTCATGAGCTCTGTTCTCACATTTGTTATTCATGAGTTTTGTACTCACGTTTGTTTCACGGCTTCGAACTGTGTTTGGTTAGCCTTACCCTCATGGATTGTGTGTCCACATTTATTTCGTAGTTTTGATTGCATTTGATTACTTATCCTCGTAGACTGTGTGTCCATATTTATTTTCATGGCATAAATTGTGTTTGTTTATTTACCCTTATGGATTATATGTCCACATTTGTTACCTGTTCTATAAAGTCCTCAAAATTTTAAATTTTGATTAATTGGCTCATTCGAAATTCCAATGGTTTCAATTAACAAGTGTACTATTTTGATTTTTGTATGAGTAGTTTGTTTTCTCTAAGCATAATAGAATAAAGTGCTTTCAATTCACTCTCATTTTATAGTTATGATTATAATTTACAGATTTATCAAGTTATTATGTTGAATTATCATCTTTTTATTTCACGTGATTATTTGATTTTATTATTTTAATTCTTTTGAATTCTATTTTGGAGATGTTATTCACTTAAAAATTATTTTGGTCTCAGACTTATTAACCGACGTTGATCCTACTATCAGCCTTTGAAGGAAAATATAGCTATATTGGGTGAAAATTTTGTTTGGTGCTGTTACCTTTTAATGAAAATATGTAAGTCTTATATATTTTAATTTAAAAGAAAGATTAGTTGCTCTACATAGATTGTTATTACGAATTTTTTTATTTATATGCTATTTGTTAGCTGGAATGAGCTAAGCTCCTAACTAATATTATATTTTGTGAAATTTTTTGTGTTGTAGAATTTTTTTGGGAAATTCTATTTACAGAAGAGGTTCTGCTAAAATTTTCACAAAAATATTGAAGCTTTGCTATAACAATTAATATTTAAAGTGTTAGAATTTTTATATAACTTGATTTTTTTAAAAAAAATGAAATAAATTTATATTTTGAGGCTTACGAGAATGTGCGATATAATTTGCATCCATGCCGGTCACCTTCTTTTTTCGAGGCGTAACAATTAGAATCCTCAATCCCTTAGCACTTCAACCTTCAAATCTCAAAGCATAATGATATGGGTTCACACTCATGAATTGTTGGTCGGATTCTTTCTAATACACAGGTTCCTCAAAGAAGAATGTAGAGCATACTTGAATCTTAATATGACAAATACAAGATATTAAAGAATCAGGCTTTCAGGAAAGAAAATTTTTTTAGAGAAAGTCCTTGTGACTTACATCAACCTGAGCTAGTTAGTGTATATTCCTTCGCTTTTTTTTATAAGTTATTTCTACCAACACCATCAATACCAATGCAAAAAAGGTAAAAGGAATAAAAGTATGTAAAACTCCAAAGATACCCTTATATAACAAATTTAAAAAGTAATATCATATTATTTTTTTTCATTCATGAAGAGTAACTTTATAAATAACTTTCAAATATTACTTAAAAAGTCGCATCGTGATTCATAAATGGGATCAAATGGATATTCTAGAATGTGCTTTATAAATGAGATTCGAAGGGATATATTTTAAAGTTAGAGGGTTAAATATTAAATGAATGTAATTGTTATGAACTTGATCGCTTTAATTAGAAGCTAAGTCAGATGTAATTGGAATCGAGGTAGCTTGCTTCGTACTCATGCATGACATCAGTGAAAAAATAAACCAATTTAAGTTGCTTATTATGATGGGCACTTGTTTTTTCTTGGCTAAAAATTGGTTTGAAATGAGACCTTCCAAAAGGTCCTTATTTTTTTTTCAGAGGGTTAAATATTTAAATGAATGTAATTAATATGAACTTGATTGGCTTTAGAAGTCAGAAGCAATATCTGAATTGGGGTAGCTTGCTTTTGTACGCATGAATGAAAACAAAAGGAAACAATTTTAGACTTCGTCTTATTTCATCATCCATATCCACAAAAACGAGTATACATTACGGTAGCCATATTATTCAGAGTACACCAATCTCGTATATGGAGTAGCAATATTAGAGATCATACTAAATATATGCTGATATATTTTAGATAAACAGGCCCCAGGTCTACTTAATAATTTTTCATCTTTAATCATCCACCATTTTATTTCGGGGCTAGTTGATGATATGAAAGGAATAACAGTGCTCTTTGATCTTTGAAGTAATAAATCTCTTTTATCTCTTTTATTAAAAAACTTAAACTAACAAAATAGTTGATTTCACTGGTGCTGAGTTTATTCATATGAAATGTGAATAAGAAAGAGAAAATGACAGCTGAGATTATAAAACTTTGAATTAATGATGGTTAGGATTTTGACAATTTTTTTTAAAAGTAAGTTGCAAATATTAACTTAAAGAAATGTAAATTCAAAAATGTTAATTGTATATAAAATATTTAAATTTTAATGTAACTTTGAGATTGCATTTGCAATTTCTATTTATAACTATTTGAATTAATATCCTTAACTCATTTTTATTAATACAATTTGTGAAAATAGTGACTTACCTTATTAATTTCAATATGAAATATATTTATATAAAGAAAAAAGATCTATCAAGATCTATCAAAGAATAAAATAATAACAGAAAATAAAATAGTTATAACTACTCTAACTACAATTATATAAAATAATATATATATATATATATAAAATCAAAAATCTAATATTGCCCTATGTTACCCCTCACAAGTTGGGGAATGTATGTCGCACATACCCAGTTTGAATAGGAGATCATTAAAGGGACCAGCGCCAAGAGGCTTGGTGTAGATATTAGCAATTTAAACCTTTGAGTAAATAGGAAGCAAATGGATGATGCCGCTTGAAGTTTATCACAAACAAGATGACAATCTAGCTCGATGTGCTTAGTTTGCTCATGAAAAGTAGGATTAGAGGCAATATAAAAAGAAAATTAATTATCACAAAAGACCAGTGCAGGAGAAAGATGGGAGATATGAAGATCTTGTAACAAAAATAGCAACCATTGTAACTTATAAGTCACAGAACTAAGAGCTTGATATTCAGCCTCAAAAGAGGAACGAGAAACAGTGGATTGTTTCTTCAAGCACCAGGAAACTAAGGCTTTGTCAAGAAAAACAAAAAAGCCAGTAATGGATCAGCGAGAATCAACATAACCAACCCACTCAAAGTCAGAGAAAGCATTTAATTTGAGATTAGAGTCAATAGGAAAAAATAAGCCCTTGCCTGGAAAGGACTTAAG